ATAAATAACTTGTCAGGTGGAATTCAAGTTGGCAGACTCAGTCTGCATGTCTGTATTGCAAATTGCTTCTGCTTAAACTTTGGCCAGCTGCTTAGTGCTCATTTTGAAGTTTGCAGTGATGGATTTCATGGAAAGTTACTTATGAATTGAAATCCACACATTGAGATTACGTGTCACACCATTTGTTATATACCAGGCCGTCACCTATGAAGAGAAACTATTTTTTATGACCTTGATTTGAAAAAGAGGCAGTTTTTCACACCGGCTGTGCTGGATGGCCTGTAGTCTTTATGATTGATCTGCCTACTCATGCTCTGCCATCTGGCTTGGAATAAAGGCTCAAAACAACACCAAGTGCGCAGTGTAAACTTAAATGTTCTATTTATTTAAACCATTTGAATTGCTGTTAATTCTTAAAAAAACAAATTGGTCTTTTACACTGTATTTCATAGCAATCATTCAGCTGCTAGTTAGGTGTCAAAATGTTAAATGGCTCTTCATGGTCTTTGTTACATGCTGCAGGAGGATTCATGGAATTCAGTAATAAAGTATTTCTCTAGCTTTTACAGTGTGCAATCAGCATTTCAAACCTCACAAGCACTCTTCAAACTGTTAAAATAAGATGTGGGTGGTCAATGAAAGGAGAGTTTGGGTTCATTGTAGAATACGTTCACCCGAAAGGAATATATTATGAAGTGGCTTATAATTAATTTTTTGAACTCTGTCCAGAACAAGTATTTGCATGTTGCAAAGTTCTCAAAACCTGGAAACAATGTTCACTGATTACATTGTGTTTAGTGCTGTTAGGTTGTACACATATATTATCCTTTTATGCGTTGTTTTAACCATTTGTACACTTTAAAAATGGATGGAAGACAGTGATCTTCTGACAACATAAGGAATGCACCTAGATTATTTATTGAACGTCTGGATGGTTTCTTTTAGGTGACAAAAATTCAAGTAGTGCAATTGTATCTACGGAATTTAAAACGAACAAATTGGAGAAAGTCCAGCATGGGTGAATGGTCAAAGATGAGGGCATTAGCTGGAGATCTTGAGGTGGTGTTCTGGAAGGTTCTTCTCACAGGTTTATTAAGGGAATCCTGGTTACAGTTACTTGAATACCCACCACTGTTAAGGTTTGGTCGTCTTATAAGTCATTGAAACTGACAGCATCACAGCGTCCCGAGACCGGGCAGTTTCTCCTGGGGGCATTTCCTGCCTCCTGTAACTCCTTATCTTATGAACACCTCAGCCACCTCGCTGTCGGCGGAGCAGGACTGGATCAATTGGATACTAAACCTCACCCTCTTAATAATGGCCTTTAAGAGCCAGATTTTAGGATAGTAAAAAGCATTTTTATTGAATTTACCGCTAAGTGTCCTAGATCTGTAGGAGACCAGAGTACATTTTTAATTTTTGATGTGTCGTTAGTTTCCGTTTGCGGCCCTTTTTCTTCAAAATGAACTTTTTATATGCGCTTGGCATGATTTCTCCTCCAGTCGATGCATATTCTCCTGCAAGCCATTAAGCCACTAGGACCTTGCAGGATATCCAGTGCCGAGGAGCACTGACTGCATGCCACTCTTACCTGTGGTCAGAGTATTTGTGTTGAAGAACAACTAGTGATTCCTTAATCTGTTGGGTTGGAGTCTTGTTTGTCTTAATTGTCTTGTTTGTCTGAGTTTTGAAGATAAAGAAAGGTATGTCATTTATCATGTTATCATTTTGTCATTTTAAAACATGACAAACAAGGTTGAAGATTAAAGGTATGCATTCTCCAAATGAGACCTACAGTACAGTATACATGAAGACTGTTTTTGAAAGCACACTAAAATTAGTACAGTTAGTGAAGTGCTCAGCTGTCTGACCGTTCTCTTCAGATTGGAATTTCTATTTTTTCTTTGTTTTTCAAAAAAGATTGGGTTAATGTTCATTACTCGGTTTCTCACAATGAACCATAGCAAGAACAAAGATGTCTCTGTAATCTGTGAGCCCTTTCAAATAAAAGGGTGTATCATAGATTGGAGATAATATATTTAAGGCATTTTAACTGTGATGGTGATCTGAACATTTTCCTTTAGCTAAATGTAAGATATACAGATTTCAGCACCTGCAGCAGATGATGTGTCTGAGCACACAGCTTCCTAGCAGCCCTGTTTAGCCATAAAAGAAACAGAACTGAGGCAACAGTCTTTGACTCGCCTGGTGTAACCTGAGAAGGAATTCTGAAAGGATTAGGCTATATATTCAAGTTTTAGTTGGCACACAAGGAAGAAACAAAGAGAAAGGCCAAAAGCATGTACTAACAACAATTTGAGATGTTTTTTGTCTCTGTGCATATATGTGTGTTCTCACAGCAATATACTGTAGGAGTTGCTATAATACGCGTGTTTTGAGTGGGTGGTTCAGTTCTAAGAAGTAGAGGATTAGGAAGCGTTACCGCCTTTACTCCATTACTGAGTGACATCAATGGTCTGAATATAGTTTTCGTTTAATGGTGATAAAATGTCTGTAGTCTTTACTCTTCAGATAAAAATGACTTTTTAAGCATAGTTGTGGACTTAGGTCATAACATTTTGGTAAAAAAAAATACATTTTTGCAACTTTATTAAAAACAATGCTTTTGAATATGTCTGTACATAAATGGTAAAGATTTTAGACTGAACATACTGAGTCTAATGAGTTTGTCAGTGAGTGCCAAGAAACGTTATCAAGATTTAAAAAAATAGTGTCAAACAATATATGAATACAGGTAGAAGACCACATTTTCTTTCTTTTCTTTTTGAATAAAAAGCTTTAAGTCCTGATATAAAAAATCACGAAATAGCAACCTCATTTGAGCTATCAAATTTAATTTCACTGGTTTGAACTGACACAACACCACTGTGGCTTTCCCTGAACTGGCTAAGTGAGCCTAGCAATCTTGGACTCTTGAATTAGCAGGTACCAGCGTCTTAACCACCAATAATGCTCACTATGTGCTGGTGAACTAGTTTGCTGATGGCCTTATTTCTGCACTGGAGTTTGACAAGAAACAATTCTGTCTCCGTAGAGGGCAACACTTTAGACTAGGGTTTGGAAATCACATTTGATAAACAATTAACACAAGTCGTAAACACTTAAATATGTAATATCAGAGCTTTGCAATGATAAGACTTTAATCAATGACAGAATCGCAGTTAATCAGCAGAGGACTTTAGTAGATAAGCTTTAACATATTTATGTAACTGTATATACAATTTAGAGTCAAGAAGATCTGTAATAGAGGTTTCTGGTCAATAAAGAATAATTGAAAAGGCAATGTGTTCAGTGTAGAAGTTTGAAAGTTACTTTCCACACTAGATTTTTGAGGGGAAAAGCATACTGCATTGAGTGTAATTTAAGAAAGGTCAGCAGCATTCCTTTCTGAAAATGCTCGATCGGCACACAATGACTTTACAGAGATCCTGGCTGACAGAGATATTTTATAAAATGGCCTTGCTTTTCCCCTGTTGCTGCTCTGAGAAAAGTTGGTGTGGTTTTTTTTCAGCTCTGTTGTAGCAGCAAAACAACATTTTCCATTGAGTTTAGTTTTAGTGAGTTACATTTAGTTAGTTTGGTTTGGTGGCAGTTAGAATTATATGGCAAAAAGGCAGTGATTTGTTTTTTGCCCTTTTAAAAAAATATGCTGGTGATGTTTGTTTTTATTTTTGACAATAAATCCATGGAATAGGAAATTTGTACATCTAAACTGAAGTTTATCTTAGCAGCTTTATAAATGTCTGCTGCAGTCATAGTGATGCAGCTTTTATTCCTCTTCAGGTTTGCTTCTTGGGATGTGTCTTTCTCCCTTAAAAACAAATAGTTCAGGCTTGTGTTTAATTACGTGTGCCACCACTTATTAGTTTTGTAATTAACATTTCACCTTGAGGCCAATCTTGTAATTCCGATCTAGATGTAAGGGACTGTTATTTGAGTGCACACTGCCTTTTGTTTTTTATTCTGTTTCTGGTCTCGGGTTCTGTGCATCAGATTTCTTTTATCTCTTTCTGTGTCCACTCACCTGACATAAATATACAGGGAACAAAAACAAAAAACAGCCGGCAAGAATTTGTTTTCTGTCTTCAAAGATGTATTTTTTTATATGTTGGCCCAGATAGCTGAAAATGCTTGTAGGCCTTGCCTACAAGAACTTTCTTGCATCCCCCAGAAAAGTATTAATTTGGAAAGTGAGGGTTTGTTCACCATAGAGGCCTCTGTGGCTGCTACAGCCCAGAATCTTGACTTCCCTGATCACAGGATTCCCCTATGATGACACACAGGACACCACCGCCGAACAGCAGGAGGTGGGGAAAGTTACTTACCCATAGAGCAGATTATGGGACTTTTAGGTAATAGCGGAAGTTACTGCCACTTTCTAATTTTGTCTCCTTTGAAAAGCAAGAATTAGAAAATGTTGGGAAAATGATTCTTTGCTGTACCTTTGGCTCAAGAAGATGACAATTTGCTTTAGTTTCATGGGGCTGAGTAAAAAAAACCCAGGAGAATGATTGTGTGATAAGTGTGTGAATCATAATTTTAAGTGTGTGTGTGTGTATACAGAGTGAGAATTTTTCAATGAGATTTGAAATTCTCAAATGCATACAACTCATTGGTACAGTCTATGTATACACAGAGTGAGATTTGAACTCTCATATGCGTACAACCCATTCTGTATGTCATACAGTACACACTAAGGATGGAGTGGGTTTGTGGACAGAATGTAAAAAACTGTACTACCTAAACAAACATATCTCAGGCAGAAATCCTTGTGACTACAGCTGTGAGCTGTGAATGACTTCATTAGACCAGCTATTGCTGATTCAGTACAGTCAACATGTTTTCCAGATTTTTCTGATCATTAATTGTCTAAAACTACATGAACACCTCCAGTGCAGTCACAAACTTTCATTTTCTTTCTAAGGGTTTCTTGAGGATTCTGCTTCCGTACAATAATGTCAATTCATTTATCTTTCCAGCTCATATCATCAGTGGACCAGTGGAAGACACAGATCCCAGTAGTATTGCAGCAGAAATGGTATGAGTAATTTCTTCCATAAAGGGGGGTAGGTGGTGTTCAGAAAACATCACCAAGCTTACTGCTATTTGCATTAAGTCTCCAAATCTAATCATAATTGTGATTAAAGAATGAATCTAGAGCTAAAGTTAAATAATTTTTATACTCATTTTAAAATTCTTATGTAATAATTTTAGACTTGAGTCTCTTGAGAGCCTTGCATTATGTCATCAAGTTAAATTTGTTACTGTACTGAACTGGTACAATCCGAAACCAGCTGTTTAGTGAGAACTGAAACAGCAAAATATGAAGAAGATGAGACTTTCAGTCAAAGGAAACAGCACGTACACTGTTTTAGACCTTCATGAGATGATTTCCTCAGTCACAACGCAGAGGTTCGTTTCTATAGAACAAACACTCTGGAGCAGTTCCATAACATTAGATCTCTCTCTTGAATGTTTTGAAAAAAGAATAGTTTTCAGTGTATCTCTGATGTTTTATACATCCAGTCATTCTGTGATTCCATCAGTGATTTTGACTGTTCTATTCTTAACAAGCAGATTTTGTGCTTTTTGCAAGTTTGTGTTTTTTGTTCGTTCTCAGCCTGTTTGACTTTTTTTTTGCTTACTTCTCGTGTCTTGGTTAAAATGTTCAAAACTTAAAAAAGTAAAACAGCCCAGACTGTCACTCGAGAACTGTTATTTCGCTGTTGGGGGAAAAAAAACAACTTGGTGTGCCAAAGTCAGATATATCTTGTTTTATCCTGTGACAACAGTTATTTGAATACTTTTTTTCCGAATTCCTGCAGTCATTGAAGTCAAAATATCCAGTTCAAGACACCGCTATACCCAAAGGTAAGGATATTAGTCAAATATTTCTGTCTGTGTGTCTTGCTATAAATAAATAATATAGTCATCCCTCGCTTTTCGCGGTTTCGTTAATTCGCGGGTCACCCCCCCGCAAAAAAACTTTCATGGGATGTACAGGCAGGCGACGGCGTGCGTGGCGTATTTTCGCATCCGTTAACCATCCTCTGACATGAAACCTGGGGAAGTGGAAGAGCTGCCGGGGGAGCTCAAAGATGAGCTAACAGAGGAAGACCTTGACGCCAGTGAAGAGGACGGGGAAGAACAGCAATGGATACCCAAGTCTTTTGCAGCTCTATGCCAGGACTTCCAGGGACCGGAGGACAGGACACTTCACCTGGGCCCTTCAGTGGAAAGGAGCGTTAAAATCGTTCGGCGACTGGGACAGGTCTTCGAGCCGTACCATGTGATGTTCAAGAAGTGGAAGGAAAAAAAGCAGCAGCTCCCCTGTCACGACGTTTCTGCAAAGAAGAGAAGTTTTGAGGGTGGTCAATTTATCGCTGATTTTGCGAGGGATGACTGTAATTAATTATAGTTCGCAGAACATTTCAGGATGTTAAGACCTGTCGCACTTATAAATATTTAAGTATCACGTTTCCCTATCTATAAAATATGAAACATAAATTCAGAAGTTCAATAATTTTGAATTGTATCTGTTTGCTCACAGTTTCCTCTCGCATAAACATTCGTTTTTATTTGCACGAGCCTGGATTTCCCCCTCATGATGTATTGTGGGGAAAAAAAATCTTCAATACAATTTTGTGATCTGATAAGTGAAGCAGGCGTCAGACCAAATGCTGTCAGAATGAACTGGGCTGGTGAGGTACTGTCTGCGGTACCTGAGCAATACTAAAGCTGTACTTGATCTCATTTTATTGACCGTGATGACGGTACAAAACTGAGGAACTAATTATCAGAGTCAAAGCTTCAATTGCTCTGTAGGTACTCTTCCAATCTGTAACTGAGTTGATCCCCATTACTGTTCACAGGAGCGCTCTTCCTAGTTCATTTGAAGGACACTAATTCTATAGTGATTTTCCCATCAGGCTTTTTAGTAAGAATGAGTTCCTACCTTGAAACGCTAAAATTCTGAAGGCACACGACCCCCCTGTGTTTCTGATGCTGCAACATCTTGTACAACAGCAGTTCTGATTTCAGCTTGCTACGTGAAAAGAAAAGTCCATTTTAAACATGACTAACAGAAACCAATTACAACTACAATACACAATCCAGCTTATCTAGGTAACACCAAGACATCCATTCATGTTTAAGCCTTGTATTAACCATGCTTGTAAGAAAAATGTTTTGATGATTGTAGGGAATTAGTTTCCTTGTTCTTTATCTAACAATTATTTGTTTTTCTTTGCTCTCCTGGCCCACTAGATGCAGTGACAATGGAAGTAGCCTCTGTTAAGCCTGGCTACTTAATGTCTCAGTCGCACAGAATAACCCAGGTAAGGGAAGTTAATTGTTACAGGAAGTGTCTGTTCATTTCCAGAAAGTGGACAAGGGTACTGAAAGATAGGAGATGATGGCAGGAGATAAGGCTTTGGTTTTCAGCTAAAATCCCATATCAGCTTTATTTATAACACAGCCTCTCCGACTCTGTATTTTAAGCATTATAAAATAGGTAGATTTTTTCAGAAACATTTCATGCTCCCATTCTATAGCGATTCAGATAACTAAGTGGAGCTGGAGCCTGTTTGTGGATTTGCATGGTCTTCCCTTTTCCATCTAGGTTTTGTGACATGGGCACATTGCACTGGCTGCAGTCCTGCCTTGTGCCCTGTGCTGCTGGCAAAGGCTCCAATTTACTGAAAAAGAGGCTTTCTGGTAATAGGTGGATAATTAAGTGCAATACCTTTAGAATAGTTAGCATTTCAAAGCAATTGTATGTCACAGAAAATGTCTAAAAGTGTTTTATTAATATGGTATATTGAAAGGAAATTCCAAGCAAATCATATTAAATATTTTACAGTTGATATGGATGTCATTTAATGATTTTCCCCACAGTAACAATACATAATGTCTTAGTTAACATTCATTTCTAATTTGTCTTCAGTATTAATATGTCTGTGCCATGAGGTGGACTAGCAATATAATGTATCTGGCAAACCTAGCAGGAAAGTGCCATAACAGGATCTGTAAATAAGCAGATCCCGGAGAACTGGACTCAGAAGGCAGCCATAAGGTTGACCCGGTTAGTCTGGTGGCCGAGGGTGGCGGATCAATCCCAATAGCTTTCTGGGTACTGTAGTTCAGATAAGGACAGGCATCTTGTCTGAACCTGCTGTCCTATCACATGTAATTTAAATATCAGTTTCAGATATAATCTCAGTAGTTTTGCCAGATAGATATGATATGCAGTTTAGCCTTGGGCCTGTTGTTGTGATCACTAATGAATTGGAAAATGTGACAGCTCAGGCATTTTTGGAAGGCAAAGGAAGTCACCTGCTGTAAATGGCCGACTTTTTAGAAACATTTTAGAAACTTTTGCTAATTTTCCATTCATTGGTTTAGTCAAAACCTCATTTAAGGCAGCGTGGAAGCATGATCTGAATTCGGTTGTTTAAGCTAGAAATGAGATGTTTTCACATAGGGTTGCAGAGGTGGGTAAGGCTAGGCTTTGAACTTTTCCCAGACATGCTTAAAACTTCATTAGGGACTAATGAATAATTCCCCTAAATTAAAATTGTATTTTGCATAACTGAACTGGAACATTAGAATTCTAAGTCTTTTCAGTTTAAAAAGATGTTTTCAGTCATAATGTGATGAAACCTGTTCGTACCTAAGCAAGCAAACAACAGCACAAAAATATTTTTTCTCTGGCATTTACTACTGTAAATAAGTATGGCTTCATTAGTAATTGGAGTGAAATTTCAGTAAAAGTGTAGGTCTTTATACAAACCATTATTTTTTATTGAATGTCCTGTTAGGTGTGCTTTACTCTACATGTTACTATGCAGATTTGAATTGCTACGTATGTCTCATTACGTAAGAAAACTATTTGCATTTCACTGTTTTGAATCTATAGACCTTTACCAGTGGATAATATTAAAAGAACATGTTTCTTTCTTGCAGCCAGAAGACAATGAGAGCCATTGCTTTTATACAGAAACAATTTCTTCAACAGGTAAAGAAAACCCATTTTACAAGGAAGATACTTTTAAGCAGAAGTCCATTCCCTTAAGTCCTAAAATATTAAATTAATGTTGAGAGACTTTCCTTGTGTGTTATGGATTCGAAAAGTGTGTTTTATTTTTCGTATTGTCTGTGTGGGCGCTCTGGTGTCCTTTCACCTTTCAAAGATAAGGTTAATTGTTGTCTCTAATTTGTCCTTTTTCACATGTGTGTACTGTGATGGACTGGTGTAGCCCTGTCTTGCTTGGGGAATAGGCTCCAGGCAGCCGCAATCCTCGCTTGTAATAGGTGGATATGTAAGTTAGGGTATGACTTAGTATGGTTTTCATTTTTAATCGCCAATTAATTGCCACAGTGGAAAAGTCGTATATCTTTTTTACATGCTGCAGGCTCCACTAGTGCTTTTCAGGAGAGCTAGCTCCTGATTGGAGGACCAGTGTGTCTCTCAGTGATGTCACTGTAAGCCTGCAAGCTCGTAGGAAGTCACAAGAGCCTGGAGAACAAAGGCTAACGTCCACCATACACAGGTGGAGCTCTGCCAATGGTGCGCTCTTGCTGGGAGAATCCTGGTCACAGTTGGTCGGTGACATGCACCAGGATGAAACTAGCGAGAGCCATAGAACTCAACATGAGCTTCCCGAGTAGCTCACTGTGCAGAGACCTGAAGTGATGATATGTCTATCTCCACAAATAAATACATTCGCTTTTCTACAATGATGACTAGAAATCCACAAGAAATACAAAAATATTTAAATCTATTTTTGAATTCTGTTACATGCTAAACGGCATGTGACCTGAATTTCATATAATAGAAAGCAGGTTAAAGGATCCTGCCTTCTGTTAAGCATTTAATTTGTCTATGTACTTGCCAAGATGTTAACCTTCTCTTAAAATGTGTTTGGAGACTGCAGGCAGAAACAACAGCTTAGGATGCACCATGGATTCCACAAAAGTTTGAAATATTTGCATTCTATGTTCATCCCATTCTTCTTGCAGGATCACTATCAGTTGAGGTTGGGATGATGAGGGGTGATGGTGTGTGGGATTGAATTGCGCAATCTATGAGTTCCTGCAGTTTGTGATGGGGGTTGAGGTCTGGGGATGGTTCTGGCCAGGCAAGATGATGGACATCTGTTTTAGTCTCCCGAAGCAACACCACTCATACTCCTACTTGAAATGTGCTCATTGTGGATACTGTAGATGCTGCATATTTTTCATGAGGACGACCAATTATAACAGGGCAATGATGTTAAGATTGTTAAGTAATAAAGGTACTTATGTTATCTCGTATCAGTATTGCTGTTTTTCATTAAAACACTGTCTTTCCAAAATAGTATATTCCCCTCAGTAAATTATTATTGACTTTAAGTATTATCCAAAATCCAATTTTAAAGACTTATCCTTTCTTATTTAATTTGATAATTGTCCTGTCTTACTCATTTAAAATAGTCAAGAATTACAAGACCCTGTTTCTTTGACCAGTATATGGGTGCAACAAAAATGTGGCTGAAAAATTAATTTTTAAAATCAAAGAAATATTGGCAGGACATATAGGACAAGAGGGATTAAACACCTGCGATTTCCCACCCTTTACGGCATCTAAAATACACATTAGTGCAGTTAAAGACAATATTATTTATAATTACTGTGCAACATCTGACCTAGAAGACCACGAGTGTGCTGCGTTTCTGTGAATGAGCTGGGGTTTTTTTCTCTCGTGTGTTTCATTGTGTGATCCTGCTCCTCCCAGATTTCATCAAGCGACTGCCGTTCAAGGACAGCCCCTGTGAGACTTGCTGTTGCTCAGCTCCCCCGCCCAAGATAAGCGACTTGATGAACGATGAGGACTTGCTCTACAAACTGCGACTAAAGCTGGACCCCAACTACTCTACCATCAAGAACTGGAAGAACTTCGCCAGCAAGTGGGGGATGACCTATGATGAACTGGTGCTGCTGGAACACCGAACACAGGGCTCCACGCACAGCCCCACCCAAGAGTTCCTGCAGAGGAACAACGATAAGACTGTCAAGGAGCTGACAGAGCTCTGCAGACTGTACCAGAGGATTGACGTCCTGAATGTACTGCAGCAGTGGGTGAAGAACGACTGGCCCAAGAGGTGGCAAAAAGTCCGTTAGCTGGGAATTTGCTCTTTTATCTCTTTTTATCTCTGTGAAGTGCTTCTGTTTGTTTTTTGGTGGGGTTGATATTTTTTCCTTGCATTTAGAAAAAAATGAACAGGTAAACTATGATTGATTTCTGGAAACACTTTTTTTTCCATCTGATATTTCCTGGTGACCTGGAAAATAAAACAACAGAAAGACAGTTCGGGGGTGGTTTTCTCATCAGTGAAGAGTTTTCAATGAACTGACATGTTTAAAAACTTAATGCCGAAGCAAGGTTGGAGATCACTGGGGCTTGTTCATCAGGACATTTCAGCTTAATTTGGATTCCTGCAAGTCTGTCTGACTGTATGCCTTGATGTCAGAGGAAGAAAGAATCACCTGTATTCCTCTTCAGAAGCTACTGCATATCTTTCTTTCAACTACTGTAAAACGATACGTCTCGAGACTCAATGCATGAGCAAACGGTGAATTAGAAAGTAGTCTTTCTTTCAGATTAAGTTCTGAGCAGTGGAATAAGTGCTGTTGTGTTCCAGAAAAATGCCAAAATGTTCACAGACTTTCAGGGAAGTGTCTTCAGCTTTTCTTACTCATATAACTCAGAAGAGAAATGAATGGAGTGCAGTTTTTCAGCACAGGTGGAATTTTCACCTTTAAGAATCAGCTGATGTATTGAGCCTTGCTGTGTATACAAGAAAATTGATCAAAGTAAATATTAAAGATTTTTTTCCTTTATCTAGATGAAATGTCAAAACATCTGTTAATTGAAATTATAACTGTAGTATAGAACTGCATGAAACCATCAGTGGTTTAGACTGATTTTATGTGGAGGGATTAGGATTGTGCTGAATGAAATGACTTGAACCGTAGAATACCTGATTGTATTTGCTTCCAGTTTTTATTCACTGTTTTCTTTTTATATTCTCAATTTGGAGTCATTAATTATTAAACAGTTTGATTTAGCACTACCATCTTTGGTATCTGCATGCGGCACTGAGGACCATGATCTGTTTCCTCAGGAACCATGAGTTTGTCGGAGCCATGCAACATTTTCCTTGTTGTAAGCCCTGCAGGGCCTGAACAGGAGAGAGAGTTTGGACTGGAGGAGTGTTGCATTTCTTATTGATAAGGCTAGAAAGTCAGCTGCGTGACAAGCCGAGGATGACAAGGGCGACCAGACCCACCAGCACTCAGCACTCAGGCGAATCCTTGTTACTGCTGCTTGCAGTGACACTGCACTGCCCTTTTTTTAAAATAAAAGAAGGGCGGAGCGGTTGCTCTGTGGCTCAGAATCTGGGCTGGAATGTTGCCGGTTTGTATCCTCCGGCCGGCAGAGGAATCCTCCTCTGTTGGGCCCCTGAGCAAGGCCCTTAACCCCAACAGCACCAGGGGTGCTGTATAAATGGCTGACCATGCGCTCTGACCCCAAGCTTCTCTCTCCCTGTCTGTGTGTCTCATGGAGAGCAAGCTGGGGTATTCGAAAAGACAAATTCCTAATGCAAGAAAATGTATATGGCCAATAAAGATCTTATCTTATCTTGAGAAATCCCAGTCACAACTGGTTAATAATATAGCCAGATCTGGGCCATAGGGTTCAACCTGCATTCCAATAGAGAGTATTTATAAACTGAGCCATGCAGGTCCCCCCTGAAGAGTAAAGTGCTTCTTGTTCTTGAACATTTTTTGTATTTTGCAATTTTGTCCCCGAGCCATTTGGGATCATTGGTTTGTCTCTCTCTCATCTTACGACAACAGCCCTAGTACTGCACAGGGAGAATGAGGAAGAGCAGACGAGCTCCTGTAACCCTCCCCCCCCTCCATTGAGCCAATCATCTTTCACCATGCAAGCCTGCATGTCCCCACCATGTCACAGGAGCCACCTGCCTGACTCATCGCTGCCTCACTCCTGGCAGCGCCCCGATAATTGTGCCCCACCTTTGGAGTAATTTCTGTCCCAGTCTGCTGAAATCGTCACCTGCTGAGATCCTCACAAGCCTTCTTGTAAAGGGTGTAGAGGCCACTTGATCGCATTGCTGGAATAAAAAGTGAAGTAGTGCTCAGGAAAACCATCAAAAACCAGTATGCTTGTTTAACCACAAAGATCTGAAGAAGTCATTTTATGTAACTGTACTAGAGTGCCTCTAGATCGGGGCAACAAGTTTCTAGTACCTGTCTGGGATTTACTCTCTGGTACTGCTTTGCTTGTTGCTGTGGAGGGAGGTGGGTAAAGGTGACTTTTGTTTTAGAAATTAAGGAGCCCATCACGAGGACTGGGGCCCTGGATCAGTGATGATGATGAGCATGAGCACTAGGAAAACTACAGTAAATAATAGTTTTAAATAAGAAAACAGCAAGTGTTTTGGGGTCACAGTACCAGTCAGTCACAGTTCCTAAAGAACAAAATGCACTTCTATTGGTACCTCTTTCTTGTTTTTCATTACTCAGTGTAAATTAAGGGTTATGGAAATCTGAAAAAATAGTTGTCTCTTAGAAGAGCTGATGAATATGTTAATAGATAATCAGTTTGTTTTTTCCGCTTGGAAAGTACTTGTAATATGACAGGACTATGACAGGCTAAGAGTTAAGGCTGGAGTATTTTTCTACAACTATCTTTAAGAGTTCCTAAGCTTATCTACGATATTTGGCTGGATTGTTAACACAGTACCATGTTTCATCATTTAAACCAACATTTTCTGTTATATAATAATAGCAGCTCCAAAAGGAAGTCAAAAGCAACTAAGTCAAAGTAATTTTCATTAGTAAATACAGGAGGAAAATACTCAGTTTTGCACAGTATTGAAACACATAAAGGCTTGGCCTTATGTACACTATGGGTACGAATCCTTGGATTGTTTCTAATTCCCTTTAAGATGGACTCCCCAGTTACCACTGCTTGGCTGTTTCCCTGCTGCCCTGTTATTTCCTGGGATCACAGCAGTATGTGGGTGCTATGGACATGACACGTGTTCCACGTGGGTAATGGAAACAATTTATATAATTAGATTAGAGCTACAAAAGCAAAAGCAAAAGAAATGTTGAAATGGGGTGTTATAGCATTATTTTGATGATTGTACGCTTTTCATTTCAGACTGGGTCCTGGATGTTTTTTTTTTCTTTTAATTTATTTTTGCTCTTCGTATCACATGCTTGGGTTTTCAGCTTGTGCATTTGACCAGGCCTGGAAATAAAGTGCAGTGATTAGGAATTTGTTATATGAATTGGATTCTATGGATTTGGCTTTTATTCTTAATTACAGTGACTCTGCAAAACATGTATGCTGCTTTAAAAACAGTAGAACTACATCCGTATTTTGCTTCTAGGATTCACGAGGCTGATCACTGTAACTTCAGTTGTTCTACAAGATTACGTATCAGGTAAAATCTGTGCCATTGTGATATTAAAGGCTGAGGTTGGGTCTTACTTTCTTCTTGGGTAACAACTATAAGTATGTTGTGTGTTCAAAATGCCTTATCTTAAAATTTATCTCTGCTGATTTCTTAATTTTTTCTAAGAAATGTTTTATAATTTACTTCTTGCACCAATGTATGACTATGTTGCTTCATACAAAACATTCCATTTTTCTCCTTTAAGAAAACATACAGTAGGTCATATTTATTGCTGTCTCTTCATCTTGTGCTCTGTATTAACAGGTAATTGCCGTACAGTTGATCATGTCTTCACTGCTTAATTACTTTGCAAAAGTTGTACATGTGAAAATTAAAAGTGCAATTAAAAATGGTTTTCTGTTAGTGCATGTATTGTACATTGGTCCTGGGAAATGTAATACAAGCAAAATTCAAATTAATTGTCCATCAAGTTGCAGTGATCTCTTGGTCAATGGAAGATACTACATAAGCTTATATTAACAAGCGGTTTTGTTAACTAACATTTGTATGTTCACATGTTTGATTTGGAAATAATGTACAATACGAATCCAAAACTATTCACCTGCAGATCCCGTTTAGTTTTTCAGTAAACCTTTGTGGGAGTTATAAATAGATGTTACTGTATGTTAAGCAGTTCAAAAAACACTTTTTGTGTAATTTTCTTCAGAAATAAGCAATTCTTAAATGGCCATCTTGTCATTGATTTCAGACTTAGGTAGTCTGTTTTGTAGAGAATGTAAAATCTGTACTTTATAAATTCTAAGGTGCAAATACTCTGAGACAGCGTGAAGTGCCCTTCTTGTGTATTTCACCGTAGTATGGCTGGGCTCATGCAGAGAAAGGTGAAATCAGTCCCATCGGCCCTGACAATCGCCTTCCCTGCTGCTCAGTACTAGAGATGGTGTCTATGTAAGAACGTGAGGACTTTGGGCACCCACATGCTGAACTCTTCTCAAGGTGTGACGTTGGAGAAGAGAAGATGTCGCTTTGCCACAGCCGGCCTCATATTTACAGCCTTCAATCAATACTAAAATCCTTGAGTATTTTAGAATTTCAATATTAGAGCCCTAGATTTTTGTTACGTACAAAGTGTGTTTACTGATCTCTCATTTCAGTGTCATCGCCCCCACAGTGTTCTAAGTATTAGTGGGCACTTTGTTCCCTGAAATACACACTTCCTGTCACTTGTGATATACTAATAATGGTGTTTTATTAACACAGTATGGTTTTATATCTCTCAAATATTTTGCTGTCAAGGTTATTTAAAAACAGTTTAGCATCAGAAATCCCCACAAAGTGGCACACGTGTAAATAGAATTAAAAGAAAATGAGGAATGGAACTTTGTAAAATTTTATTGGTAGTTCTATATTGTTTTAAAGTAAACATGGTAAAACAAACACAAAAAGAGAGGTGTACATTTGTTTGAACTGAGGTACCCTTTACTACATTTTCTTCCATTATACCATATTTCTGCAGTTCAAAGAATGAAATATGCTTTCATGCAGCAAGTTTAATTTGACATTGTAATTAACAGCAGAAGGAAAGTTTAAACTTAGGAGTTCCACAATTTATATGCATACAGTAATTTATAACATACAGTAATATTACCAAGAATCATTATATACAAAGAGAAATACATACATTTATATAATATATATAGAGAGAATAGGATGAAGTATATGATTACTAGCTAGCAAAAAGTGCATTTATGAATTGTAGTCAACCATATGTACATAATTTAAAGATTAATATTTTAAAACTATTACACAATGTGTTTTTGTAAGCTTCTGAGATTTGTTTTTATTCAACCTTCATAAGCCATTTGGGAACAGTACAAGCTTTTCTAAACATTCAGAATTTTCCTCTCCAGTTGACAACGCTTTATTATTAACATAATTACGCACATTAGAAAGACTAGAAAAAAGCGTATCCTCTTTGTCATCAGCTTCACAAGTACTTGCAGTATTTGCATTGGGGACTAGATGGTCAAGCAATTCCCCACTTCCCAGAACAGGCTTAATGACATTAAATGTTCCCCTTTTGCAGCTTCAGGAAATGGTTTGAAGATCAGGTGTGCTGTGTTTGCCTTTAATATTCCAGAAAGTACAAGGTGACCTTTGATTACAACTCTTCACTGACTTCTGCTGCTTGATGTGATCTAGAGCCCTTAAATTTCTGAAGTCTTGCATTAATGTCTATTTTGGACGATGCGGTTTCTAGCCTCTGACCAAGGTTTCCAAGATTGGAGATGTAACCATCAAAGGAAGGGGCATTTGTCTTAGAGAAAGAAACGTTTGCGTGTGGTGCTTCAATATGTGGAGCATTAGGTAGACTGACATTCAAATCTGGATCTGTGATTTCCCCTCGGAGGGATGGCACAGTGGCATTAATGCCAGCTTTTGGGGGGGATATATTTAGATCCATATCACGATCCAAATGTGACATTTTAGGTGAGGTAAATGAGGGCTTTAAGCTAGAACTCATTAAGTTTGAATCAGGACCATCAAGGTCTAAATCAGAAATATTAAAAGCAAAATCCCCCTTTGGTGAGCTCATGTCAAGTTTTGGAGTACTTATAGCTCCCTTTACTTGTGGGACAGAACAGTCTGTGTTTGGAATTCCGTCACCAGTATCCATATTTAAATCTGGTTTTGATCTTGAAAGAAATTTGCGGAGGTTAATTGTTGCTTTTTGAGACCCAGCTTTTACCTGAGACTTATTTACGTCAAAGCTCGGTCCCTTTATATTGCTTTGGACTTGTGGTGCAGATAGATCTATATCTCCTGGGAGTTTGGGACTTTTCAGATCTAGATCTGTGTGCAGATTAGAAGAGAAGGTCATCTCTGGCTTAGTAACTTCTGGCACACCAAAACTTCCTTTTATTTTTGGTGCAGACTTGTCAATGTTGGGTGTTTTGATCTTTGCATCCATATCTAGATCTGGTCCCTTAGGCTTTTTTTGTGAAGTTCCAAATGAGGGTAGCTT